AAGTCTATAAAATCATTTTACAAAGTTTTAAAATTGTGTAACTTAACAATCATGATATACATCTTTCATTAAGTCTATAAAATCATTTTACAAAGTTTTAAAATTGTGTATTTTCGAGATTTCGTATTTTAAGTGATTTTACAAAATGATGAGATTTCACAAATAGGATGTGCTATTTGAAAACCAATTTTTATAACATGTTCATTTTCATGTTTACAAGTATTTTAAAGTTTTACATTTTTCTGAATTTATTTGTTATTTTTAAAAGCACTTCAAAATTCAATTTTACTATTCAAATCTGGTTGATATTGTGTTATCAGTCGACCGACCGATGCAAGTGTTCAGTCGACTGATGAAAATGCCTGAAATAGTCAAAAGTTTTTGTTTTTCTGTCGGTCGACTGATCAGTCGACTGATGAGGTCTTCAGTCAACTAACGAAGTCCTTCAGTCGACTGATGACGTGTTGGCCTGTAACGGTCATCTCATCAGTCGACTGATGAACAGTATCAGTCGACTGATGCTATAACGGCTAGATTTTTTAGTCTTATCAAGTTTTGGGTTTTGGTCTTTTTGTCTTGTTTTCTATTGGGTTTGGGGTTCCGATAAATACCCCAAACATATCCTCAGTTCTAAAAAACGAAGAGAAATGTTTTAAAAGAGGTTTTCAAGTTTGTTTAAGGGTTTCAAGTTGTTTCAAGTTTTGGTTTGTGAAAAAATTTGCACAAGAGCTTGAGGAGATCATCCTTTGGAGTTTGAGCATTCAACTCTTCTCTCTCTCTCTTGTTATCTATAGAGAAATTTTTCTAAACTCTATTTCTAGCTATTTATTGTTTAGTTCTTAATTTTCATAAGCTACATTGTAATTGAGTTTAGACCTGTTTTGAATATATCGCTTTGTTCACACACAACCTATTGAGCTTATTGTATTTGCATACATAGTGTAATTGGGGTTGTGAGATTGTATTACTTAGAGAGTGAGCTTACACTTAGTTTTCATCTTGTATTAGAGAACAAATCTTTGTATTCGTACTTAATTGTGTAGATCACTTTGTAATACACTTGTACACCAAGAGGAGTGTGTAGTGAGAGACGGGGTCGTCCCAAGAGTAGGGTAAGTGGTAATGCTTAGAGGTAGGTTATAATTCCTAACACTTGAGAGAAACACGAGCTAGAAACCAACACTTAGAGGGTGCAGAGTGTGATTGTAAGAGTGGATTGTAAAATTTTCGGTGAGCTAGAAAACCGAGTGTGAGGTGTAAATATTATTCGGATAAACGTCAAAAACCCGGTTGTGTAGTGGATTCTAACCAGGAGTGGGGAGCGGAGACATAGGAGGGAAGGTCCGAACTCCGTGATCATATTGTTTGTTTGAGTTTGGTTTGACGCGCTTATATTTTTGTTCATCTTTATTGTCATTCTCTCATTGTTTATTTCTTCCACTATATTGTGTATATCTTGTTTCACCCTTCTGTTAGTTTCATATCCTTGCATATATATCTTGTTGCATATCACATTTACTAGGATATTTGTTAATTAATTTTTATTGATATTAAATCGGATTAGATTAGCATAAACATTATTCACCCCCTCTCTAAGGGTCTTTCATTAATAACTGTCAAGCATTAAAGAGGTAGCCCATAATGAAAAATATAAAGGTTGTGATCATAATGAAGTTGTGCCTTTAAAAAGGAATGGAGCCACAAGAATGAGAATGATGAGAAGTTTAAGGAAAAAAAACAAAAAAATGACTATCCTTACAGGCAAAATTCGCATAAAAAACTTTTCAATGGATTCGCTTGGGATAAGGAACCAGATATTTCTGGGGTGTCTCTTTGTGCGCATGAGCTAGTTGATCTGAATGACCTTTAATATGACTTTTGTCAGCAGAGGTGAATTGTAACTAAACGGATATGTTAGTAAACATAATAACGGATATAAGAGGATATATGGAGATTTTGGGTATGGAGGTAAGAACGATATGGGAGAATCAAAATTTACAGTTTGCAACCTTGTATGATTTGATAATAGCAAATAAATAATTTAGGAAAATGGATGAACACTTAATAACCTTTCGAATTGGTTTTAATGGCAGTCAAATACACCTTTTTTTCTTCCTAGAAGGGTGGATACGTTAACATGCAAAGATTGTCAAATTATACCGTGAGTGTGTAACTACACAATATAGGTTGATGGTACTAGACATGTTGATCAAGAAGTGGTCTAGAAAAACTATCATGAACAAGTCACAAAGCGCCAAGGCGAGCTCTTGAGGCGCCAAAAAGCAATCGCCTTAGTAACCTTTACCGCCTAGCAATACACAAGGCGCTACGTTACAAGATCACCTCGCTTGAGCATCTGCGATGCTAAGGCGCATTGCCTTTAAAACACTACTTGTGGGTATACACTAAAAGATAGGATAAGAAATGAGTACACCCGTAGCAAGGTTTTAAATATCGGTTATCGGGGATTTATCGGACGGACAAAATCCTTATCAGATAGCGGAAATCGGACGCAGCTCCAATCGCTGCCAAGCACAGCTCAAACGCAGCTCCAATCGCTGCCAAGCACAGCTCAAACGTAGCTCCAATCGCTGCCAAGCACAGCTCAAAATGCAGCTCCAATCGCTGCCAAACGCAACTCTGAACGCAACTCAAATCAGCTCTGAACGCAACTCAAATCAGCTTCTGGACGCAGCTCAAATCAGCCTCTGAACGCGGCTCAGATCAGCAGCTGAACGCAGCTCAGATCAGCAGCTGAACGCAGCTTCAACCGCTGCCAGACGCAGCTCCAGCTGACTTCGAACGCAGTTCTATACTGCTGCCAAACGCACCTTCAAACAGAGAAGAACGCAGCTCAATATCGCTGCAGAACGCACCTCCAGATGCTGCGTTCAAACACAGAATTTATGCCAGAACGCATGTCAAAGTTCTGACCTGTTCAAACGCGATAAAAAATATAATGTTAGTCAAAATGGGCCGATAATCCCGATAATCCCGATAAAAAAGTCTTACTTATCGGCCGATAAGTGCCGATAACGCCGATAAATCGCCGATAAACCTAGAAAAACGATAACCGATTAAAAATCCAATTTATCCTAGCAGAGAGCTCCCAAATCCGATAACTCGGCCGATAATATCGATTATCGGCCGATATTTAAAACAGTGACCCGTAGTAAACTAGAAGTCACTCCTATTGAGGATAAAACGAGAGAATCGACTAAAATGGTTTGGTCGTGTACAAAGGAGACCTCTTAGTGCACCGGTTAGAAAAAGTGATAGTATTATAGTCAATGGGGCTAAGAGATCTAGAGATAGACCTAAAAGAACTTCGTTAGAAGTAATTAAGAAGGATATAATTATGAATAATTTAAAGGTGGAGATAGAATTGACGAATAGGATTCATACAGCCAACCCAAACATATAAAGGCTTTGATGTTATTGTTGTTACAGATGAATTGTAACTAAATGGAACCCAACTCTTGTTGCGACCATAGATAATATCTTTACTCTAGTTGTGACCATAGATAATATATTTTCTGGAGGTGGCACATTATCACTTAATTTATCCTGCTTATACAGTAAATTCTAAACAATTTTATAGTTACTGACATCAAATACCATGATGTAAAGAAGCCAGTCGTTAGATAAAGCAAACTCCTGAAGGAATATATACTTTAATAATTTAAGAAGTTTCTGCACACACGAGTATATACATACATGTTACATGTATTATGTTCAACTCAAAAGTAAAAATGATAATGGCTCAAATCACGCAAAAGCACAAAAATGCATGCAAGTGTGCAGCAAATGCAAGATGTTCGCATGTGTCAAGAGTGTATTTGTGCATCCATGTTTGCATGTGCCCTCATGTTTTGTGTAAGAAAGAGGAATTAAAAATAAGTGCAAAAGGGAAAATATCCATTCATATCTTAACGAGTTGAATGGTTTTACATCCATATCTAACAGTTGGATGCGCTGATGTCCCTATACAGCTGAATTACTGACACTATCATATGACATCTTACATTAATTCAATCAGGTCAGAACTGCGTAGATTCAACCAAAAATCAGGTGGGTCTGGCAATGACCCATTGTGCATCTGATGAGAAACAAAAAAGATAAACCTTCCCATGACCTGCAACAATTTATTGCGAACTATTCTTCCAAATCCAAAGTTATAAATCTACCTAAACAAGTTGCTTTTCCATGTATATACGCATCTGCCTAAGACAATGTATGAGTATCTATATTACGTTCGGTTGCAAGCTAAACCTTAAAGAGACCGGTTTCTGTCATGCTAAGTACAGTTTAAAGTAAGACAAAAAAATGTTGTTGACACAAGAACAGCCATAAATATTCACTAAATGTGACCTGAATCCTCAGAAATAACCTAGTAATGGTCATTGCAACAAGCTCTCCTATTAGATATTATGGGTGCATGGCGGTATGATGCAGAGTCACAGCATAGATAACGGCAATAGCAGGTCTAGAGACCGACTTATGAATAAGAGCACAAGCATAACAAATGCCAAGTCTTAAGTAATAGGCTAGAATCTATAATGCTATTACATTCTCAATCCACTGACCAAACTCTCTACTAGGCAGTCAGCCATTTCGTTGCTAGATTTGCCGAGCAAGACTTCAATAATAGTAATCATATTGAATGATGTTAAACATGCTAACCGGTCAGTATTAAAAACGATAAAAACTGATTATGCACACAGTACTGCGTTCAGGTACCAATAGTTTCTAATAATTCCCCAAGAACCTAATGCGAATAGAATTGATAAAGCTCTTTTTGACTTTTGAAACTTGCTGCATTTAGGAACTGGCAGTTATCAGATTCAGGAGTATATCAACATTAACACAAAACAATACAATAAATTAACTTGTCAGATCAGACTATGGGCTGTTCCATAATAATGAACAAAAAGATAACCAGCGTAACATACAAGGAGCGATAATGAGAATTATGTCGGTTCAAAGAGAAGCGGAATTACCTCAAGGTAATAAGATTGAATCCTTGTCTACCATCTAAGAATAAGGTGGTGTTGAGCTCTATTAAATGGCCCGGAAGGCAAGGAAAACTGCAGAAAAATAACATTGCAATCTTATTTAAAGAGAATAAACTTAAACTTCAAACCAAACAAACTAACACTACAGAAACATCATCATGCCTGCAACTAGAGTCTAGACTACCATAATTATGTATGTTTGTTCTTTGTTGTGATTATGTACATTAGTAATTTGACAGAATGTGTAGTGCTGAGTCAGGACTTAATACATCATCCTACTAGTAATTAAATAACAAGTTTGAAAGAATAACTTCTGATATTAAACTAATACTCACAAATGCTAGCTAAAGAACACTAAGCAATCTGTCATTGAAAAGTTAAGGCAGTCCATAACCACTTAATATATATACCCAAAGTAAAAGGTTTGTTTCAGAGCTTTTTATCTCTGCTTTTTGAAACATAAGAGCTAGTTGAAGTTAGAAAGAAACATCATATAAATGATTTTGAGGAAAATATTTCTTCATGTGCTATGTATACTTCATGCTTCAATTAGTCAAGGTAACCATTTATCTAATATTGATAACTAGAATAAAGAGATTTGCAAAAAGGAAGTTCCATAATCTAATAATCAAGCTGTTGTTTATTAATCACATGTTCCTGTTCTTCAGGAAAAAGATGCAAATTATGTAACTCAGTTGCTGAAATGGAGAGTTGCACAATATCACCGGATTAACAAGAAAACACCTGATATCACAGTCTATGTGGCACAGATCATTGCTTTAAATAACCCCAATATAGCTGATAAATCGATCAATATAATGCTATCCGCAGAATGATATGATCTTAATATCCTCTATATCCTTAACCACTTTCTGCAATATTTCGGCAAAATATACACAATATGGCGGGTGATAAACTGGCTGAAGCCTTTTAGAAGGCTTGCCACAAAACAATGTGGTCTCAACATTGTTCACCGCCTTGAACAATTTGTGGGCGATATATCTTGATTTTCCTAATTAATATATCACGTGACATTTTGGCCTTTAAAATCGACCAAAATATCGCAATATGCGTTTGGAATTTTATATGTTTGAAATATTAATTTAGATTTATGGTTCAACTAAGGTCTAAACCCGAACACATCCACATATGTAAATAACCGGCAAGGTTATCGATAGCGGATAGCGTCGCGTAGCGGGGAGGCATCGCTAAGGCTATTTCGGGCTATTACGGTAAAATAACGGTAAAAAGCGCAAAGTCAAATAGCGATCTAATTTAGATATGTATAAATACTAAAAAAAATTAAAGAAAAATCTACGAAATCTAAAAGTACATATTGGATGATTTAAAGAGATTCTAAACATGAAATAGACATGTAACCATCACGTAATACCGAAGATGACTGGAGGAATCAAAAAGTCGTCGTCTTCGAGAAGAAGAGCTTAGCAGTGACAAGACTGTCCTAAGAGGAGCTCACTGTGAAGGAGGTGAGAGAAAGTATCAAGGCAGGTGCCAGAAGCTATGAGAGGTGGCGGGAGTATGCTGAAAATCACAGGAGACGGTGGAATACAATGATCAAGGGTTGAGTTTAATTTTAAAAATATAAGTCTCAAACCGCTTTTAAATAGCAGTCAAAAAGCAAATTTCGAATGCAATCGCTCACTATTTACCGTTATGACACACTATTGACCGTTTTTGCGAACAGACATATTCCGCAATATGTCACCAATATTGCGCGATAGCGTAGCTGACGATAGCGTCGCGGGAAGGGTCCGCTAACGCTATTAGCATCGCTATTACTGGGCTATTTACCGTTATTTGTAACAGTGATAACCGGAAAGAAGAATTGGGTTCAATGGACGCAAAATTCTCTCGCAAAAGTTATGAGAAAGATACAATCTTTCTCAACAGTTTCATTCTTTTGATGCATCAAGTATGAATACAAACACATTACCCAATATGACACCCAATATTTATTAAATATCTCTGATACATCCTCAACATGCTCCATCGGATATGGAATTTTCTAGTCTGACATATCCCTAGTTTATGGTACTTAGACACTGACATGGGTAGGATATGAGTGCAATACTAGACATGACAATTGTGAACAATAAGTTCGGGGGCATGGCTATATATATATATACATACTGAAATTAATAATTTACACAAGACCACTTTTGTTTTTAATTCACCTATTAAGAAAACTAAAATTCCTATAACATTTTTGTGTTACATTTATTAAGTAGATTATAAATTGGAAACCAATAGTTTTTTAACAAGATACCTAAACAGCCCTCATAATTTTTATCTGGTAATGGGCTGAAACAAACCCGACTCATTTCGGGCGAGTTGCAGGATTTGGACATGAAATATAAGATATACGTTAAAGAAGTGTATAACTAGTGTTTAAACTAAAGATGGATTATATAACAGAGTACACATCTCAATAAATGTATGCATATTGAAGAGGTGTCCAAGGAGTGCCGAAGTCAAACAGAGATACGAGAGCCCAAACTAGGTGTTGGGTAACTTAGTTCACAATACTCACCCTTCTTTCTATTTTAGCAATTTAATGGTTTAGCCTGCTCCATGTACTTCAGGGAGAAGTTACAAAAAAAGGGAAGAAAACTCAAATTGTTCCCGAATTTTTTACTTTTCAGATCACACCATTTAGTCATTGATAATATTATAAAAATGAGGTATAGGCCTGCTTTTATGGTCTAAGGTTATCAATAGTGAATTTTTCACTTACGCCACTTTCTTTATGGAACGGTGCCGTCATATTTAAGAAAAATATCATAAACATATCTCAATCAATTTTTCTTGTAAATAATGAATAAAAAAAGCCTAAATTTTATGTGTGCTTTTCGCATTAAAATTTTTTGGACAAAGAACAATAGCTTCACGAATGTAGACAATAAAGCCATTTTTTAACATTACCAAATTGCTGAACTTTACATGTTATAGTGGAAGCTAATTAGGTCAGAAGACGTGTCATAAGATGGCAAAAAGTCATAGGTATGAAAACATAACTTAATAACACGCTCTTGGAACTAGTGATGGAGCCAGCAATTTTTTTAACGGATTCGAATGAATATAACTATTCACATGGCTCGACGGAGGGTCAAATTAACGACGATAAGTTCACCCCAAACTTTGTGTGTTTGGGTTTTAGAATATATAGATCAAGTTCAACGGTGCGGATCATCCATAATGTAGCTCAATCATGTGATTTTAGATCGCGTCCTTAGATGATTATCTAAAGCGTCACCTTAGGAACACTTTTCCATATATATATATATGGAAAAGTGTTCCTAAGGTGACGCCTTAAATAATCATCTAAAAATGCGGCCTAAAATCACATGATTGAGCTACATTGTGGATGATCCGCTCCGTTAAACTTGATCTACATATTCTAAAACCCCAACACACCAAGTTTGGGGTGAACCCATCATCGTTTGACCCTCCATCGAGCCATGTGAAAAGTTCTATTCATTCGAAACCGTTAAAATTGATATGAGTGGATGAAGGATCAAACGACGACGGGTTCATCCCAAATTTGGTGTGTTGAGGTTTTAGAACATGTAGATCAAGTTCAACGGAGCGGATCATCTACAATGTAGCTCAATCATGTGATTTTAGACCGCGTCCTTAGATGATTATCTAAGGCATCACCTTAGGAACACTTCTCCCATATATATATATATATATATATATATTTTTATCTCAAATTCAATGTAACAAGAACTTTAATGAGATACAAAAATATATGTTTAAATAAATGTATATAATTAGAGTTGACCAATGGTTACATAATAGCCTCATTTTTAATACCACTACATACACCCTTTTCAATATAGGTTACAAAGTTGTAGTTCATTCACTTTGTTATCTTAGCTTTTTAGAAAACTGATAATAACTCTTTCACATATGCTATCTCGGAACTAAGCTTTTATAATTTATTAGGTCATCTTCATACATCACTTAGGGTTGGGGCTATTAAGTATTAATAGGTCACTCATTGTTTTAAATGGTGCCACTTTGTAATTAAGTCATAAATCAAAGTGTGGTTCTCTGCAATTTTAATTTATACATAGTGTAACTTTGCGATTAAGAGGATGGTGTCACTTGACATCACTATCATGTATGTACCTCCGCTCTTTGCATGGAACAATAGTGGATTGCGCACTGACATTCCCTCATGAAAATAATTTCTCCGCGTTAAATATATGCATTAAAAAGTTGATTTAGTTTAACATATAAAGTGTATTAAAACAAAATTTCAAAGTCATAGAAGAGACATAAGTAGAGATGAATCTTTTCTTTCATAAGTTTGATTCTTGAAAATTAATATGCATAAAAGAAACTTCCAACCAAGTCCTTCGACTTTGATCCATAAATTAATTATTTTAAAAAATGTGATATTTGAATGTGGTCATAATGGCGAATTGAAGCACGTCACAAAATCAAAGTGACTAGAAGATTAATTAATAATGCAAAGGTGGTAGGTATTCAAGAGCCATTTAAAACTAGGCTAGTGCATTCAGAGGACAGCATATATTTGGTTTTTACATTTACATTGAGAGGTTCATAAATTAGCATTGAGGTTCATATAACTCCAACCATCTGGATAAAGGGATCATTTAAGTTTGAAAATGATATTGGTGAATATCATTGATAGAGCCTCAATCCCTCCAACCCGTCCACATGACATTTGTTATAGAAGAAGACACAAAAGGTTATCTTAAGACCAAGATACGGTTGAGGAAATTGATCCATCAACTATCAACTATTGAGGTATCAAAAAATACGAACGCTACAAGTATGCCATGGTAACTGAACATGGAGACTTGGTGGAAATTTGATGAGTAAAAGAGCCTACGCAGCAAAAGCGCTAGTCAAACCACAAATGAATGCATGGATATACTAAGATATATCACATTTCTTAATATTTGATGATCTATTGAATTTTTAATAGTAAAAAACATATACTGGGAAATACTTATGGCAATTTCTCAAACTATGCAACCAAATCATATATTGAATTGTTGTACTAAGACAACAAAGACAATTTAGCACTTACCAATTGATAAAACAATGACTACTGCCAAAGAAATCATTTGGACAGGCCTTGCATATCGGATCTGATACTGAGACCTCTGAAGTTGCCTTTGAAGAGCTCCAAACCACCCATAGAGCTGCTTATCATAAGTTTCATGGCCGCAACTACTAAGGCAACTCTTAGTTTTCTCATAACATGCATTGCAACCCTGAAGTAATACAACACAACCATTAGAATTATCAACTAGCAATCTCCCATTGACGTTCAATTATTAATCTGCTCACCCGACTCAACTGAGGATCCCTCAATGGAAGAGATTCTGAATCATCTTGTTGATATGGATCTACACCCTTCAATTTCCTAAACACATTTTTTGACCATTGAACCTTAGAACTCGACTCTAAATCATTTAGTAAACAAGAGAAACTTGGCATCTTAGGTGGTGGTACGCTAGGCATTTGGTCATCCTTTGGAACTGAAATTTTCCATGCACTCATATCAGCGCAAGCACTTGCTGTCCTCCGATGACCATTGACCCTCTCCTCTTTTGAATTATTCTTTAGAGTCTCATTAGAACGCCGACCACCCTTTGGTATATCTTGTGTAGGCAAAGGGCAAGCTAGAAAAAGAGCAAGCTCGTCTCTTTCTCCTTTATCCAATTTCACCCAGGAATGATCACCTTCTCCCTTCTCAAGTTTCGACTCCCTCAAAGAATTCTCTACTGTTGATATCTGATTCCCAATGGCATCAACAAATTGTTTGTGCCGTGTTCTCGTCTCCTCTCCAGCCGAGCATGCATCATCATTCGATCTTACCGCTTTACTCAATTCATCAAGCTGCGGAATTTCACTGAATCTTTAACAAAAAAGACTTCATCGACAGGTAAATCACACAAAACAATTAGAATTCACCTGCCATTTTGCTGTACCGACGGTCATTTGAAGCTCCCGAAGAAGCTCGCTTGAGACCTCAAACGTTTCATTGCTAGGGTTTGCAGCTTCTCTTTTTTCGTGAATCCATCTTCTATAAACGGATTCCATCCTACAAAAGACAATCAAAAATGAATCAATGAACGGAATCCCTTCGATCATCAAAACCCCAATTTCGACAAGAATCATACCTATCGGCCGATTCCTGAACCTCTTCGGCAGCGGCAAAGAACGGATCTTTCTCCCATCGATCGAAGCACGTCGTCATCTATGATCTACCGGTCTCCAAACCCTAAACCTAGCTGGGAAAAGATCGCGGCTTTAGGCCGATCGAGATCGCGGCTTTAGGCCGATCGAGATCGCGTAACGACAACGAGGTGAAGTTACGCAAACGCGCACGTGTCGATTCAAGAGGGGAACGGATCAAAAATGGAGGAGGAAAATGATGGAGAAATCTTGCGTCGCTTTGTTTTTTGGAGGAGAGGATGGGGAAAAGAGACGATCTCCCCGCTGGATTTGGCTGACCGATGGCCAACCCCCAGCGTGATCTGGGGTGGGGCTCCACGCGAGATTCGTGGTTAAAATTTTGTTTTCTTTGTTAGGGACGGAGATAATATTGGGACTTGAATAATTGTGACCACTGTTTGACTATAAGAGCTATGGACCTTGTGGGTCCCACGAATCGCCGTCAAAATGGGCTGTTTATTTCCTTGCCTTTCTCAATTTTCATTGAAAAATTAGGACCTACCGATTAAAATTTTAAATCGTGACTAAGGGGCTGTTCGCTTTGCTTAAAAATCTCAAGAAAACCTATTTTCACCTCTGACAAGTTGTCCACAAAGAAAAAAAATCATTCCCAACTTTGCCTTCTTTCGCGAGAAATTAAGTTGTGAATGACTTTCAATCCTCCTTTCGCAATATACTTTTAATCTTTGCTGAGTAGCGTGTTCTTTGCCTCCATCCCTGTTAGAGTTAAGACCACCCGTCTTCAATTATGTTTAGCTCGGAGCGGATATAGTTAACAATGACTTTCGCCTTCCACAACATGGATTTGCAAGCAAAGCTTAAGAAATGAAGGTGATAAAACTCCTCCGCAACAGCAAAGTAGAGGAGCTCCATTTCCTTACCGAATGAAGAGAAATGGGTTGGAAATGCTCCTTTTTCCCATTAAATTTTTGGTGCTTGCACGATTCTTTCTGCTAGCCTCTTTGAAGGACCTTACTCTCATCGTCGCTCTCACTTTCATCTCCTCTCTCATGCTTTAGTTGTCACCTTTTCTCCATCGTGCCTCACTTTTCCCTCTTCTTCGCGCAGTCATCCCTCTATAATGTCTGTAATTTTTGGAGATCATATGAATGGATCTTGAGATTTTAAGACTTTTTGATGCTTAAGGGAAAACCATACTCTCACCATGCTCACTCACACTAGCATCTCCCTCTCTAATGGCTGGGATTTTTTGAGATTAGATTGTTGGATCTTCGAATTTTAGGGCTTTTTTATATTAGCACTGGATCTTGAAAAAGGCTCGGTCATGCTTTGAGAATCTCTGATCTTCTTGCTTGATTTTGATAAATTTGGCAATTTAAGATATATTCTCTCATATTTCTGAATTTTTTAGATTTACTATAACTTCATTCAAATTTGGCAAATTTAATAGTTGCATGCTAATTTTATCTAATTAAACTATAAATTTTTTTGCTTCTAATTAGCTATAGAGTTTGTTTGTTTAGGCACTAAAGAGTTTGGTTGTTCAAGCGACACAAGTGTTTTCTTTTATTTGTTTAATTAACCTTATGAATGTAGGAGCAAGAATTGTAGTTTAAACACAAAGGTTACAAGATTTTTTGTAACACTGACTTTTTTCACAAATGATTTGGTTTTTGTTACAAAAGTTGTCAATTCCAGTTGTTAGTATCCTAAGGGGGATGAATAGGGTAATGTGCTAATCTAATCCGATTTTATGCTAATTAAAAACTAATTAATATTTTTTCTTGCAAGTATGATATACAACTAATTATGAGCAAGAATATACAATATAAGCAAAGGGCAACATAAACATGAGATAATGGCGATATAAATAGTAATAAGCAATGAGCACAAATGATACGCCAAGACAAATGCAAACACGAGAAATTGATCACGGAGTTCAGTCTAACCACTTGACCTACGTCTCCGCTCCTCACCTCAAGGAGATCTCCACTATCACACCGGTTTTCAACGCTAACCAAAAACGTTTACAACTCCACACAATTTTGGTTTTCTAGCTCACCGAAAACTTTACAATCTACTCACAATGTAACTACACAAACTCTCACATCAAGTGTTAGTCCTCACGTGTCCTCTCCCTCAAGTGCTCGACTTTACTACATCTCCCTAGGATTTACTACCGACGTCACTCCTTTTGGTATCGACCACGTCCTCACCACACACTCCTCTCGGTGTACTTGTATAATACGAAGTGATCCTCATAGTAAAAGCTCAATACAAATGGTTTGTTCTCTAATATAAGATGAGAACTCAATGTAAGTTCACTCAGTCACACCCATAACCCAAATTACACAATGTGTAAAAATACTTTAGCTTAATGGTTGTGTGAGAATATGATAAATAAAAAATAAAACTAAACTTAAATCAAACTACCACAAATGTATGTATGTATGTATATATATATATACACTCTTGATGCTTAGAGAAGTTTTTCTTAACTTATCTTCTAGCATACTTACATTTTGATTCATATATATATATATATATATATGAATCAAAATGTAAGTATGCTAGAAGATAAGTTAAGAAAAACTTCTCTAAGCATCAAGAGTGATGGAGATGAGAAATTGAAGCTCAAAACCGAATAAAGATTGATCTCCTCCTCTTGTGAAACTCTCTTCACATAAACACTTGATAAACACCCTTAAAACAAACTTTAAAACACTTGTAAACTTGATTTAAACTTTTCTTGGATAATTATAAGAGCTGAGGGATGATGGGTATTTATAAGAACTCAAGACAACAACCCAAAAGCCAAAGAAAAGCCTAAAAGACGAGACAAATCCCCAAAAAAATTGGAACCAGAAAAAACTAGCCGTTATTACAACGGTACACTATTCGGTTGATTGTGGATAGTGCACCGGTCGACCAGCATTGTTCACAGAACGTGCACAAACCTAAAAATCTACATATCTGGCTCTGTAAAATCAATTAAAAATAGTAAATCAACTTCAAAAATCGTTAAATTTTGAGAGAAGTTTCTAACATGTAGATAAACATGTTAGAGAAAGAATTTCTTAAATATCAATTCCCATTTGTGAGAAATAATTATTTGAACACAGATATTATAGTTTTTGAAAAACTGTTAAAAACTTACTTTTGTAAATTCAATTGAAAATAACAAAACAACTCCAAAATTAGTAAAATTGATGAAATGTTTGTATATATGAAGATAAACATGTAAACGAAGAATTTTCAAATTATATTTCCCAATTGTAAAAACTCATCTGCTTTGTAAAAACATGCACGGACATGAACTTATTAAAACTTGATTTTGACAAAACGAGTTCAAATAAATTTGAAACTTCTTTTAAATGGATTAATAGACTTTATAAAAGATGTAAACCAGTTATATTAAGTCAATAATCCGAAAACACGTTATTATCTCAAATAGATGTATAATAGTCAATAAATCAATAAAACGTTTACGTGCACCATTTGAGCTTAAAGCATAAGCACACAAAGCATAAACCTAAACTGATATACTCATGGCAATTGATCTTGATTAAGCTCATCTTGAATGTGGATGAAGCTTGAACTTGAACTTGACTTGAATGCATTGGCTTCACTCCGATATTCCGCCAACCTCCTTTTGATATCATCGTGAGGGCGCAATCCAACCAACCTCCAACATCGTTGTTTGCCTAGAATAAATAAGAAAACACAAACACTAGACAAACAATATTAGTTATAAATTATTTGTTAAAACATCATCAAAATAAAAAGGCCAACAATCTCTCCCTTTTTGATGATGACAAACAATTTACACAAATAGTATATAAAATATACAATAAAGCACAATACTCATAAACATAAATATACTCATAATATTTCTCCTCTTTTGATAACATCAAAAAGGGGAAAACAAGTAGAGAGCGAAGGCTCCCTCTACAAATAATCATGGATGAGTATAAAAACAAATAATAAGGAATAGCTCCCCTTATCAAAAAACCTTAATGAATATATACAATGGTGACCAAGACAAACATATGTGAGCAAACATAGATGAAAACATGCTAGGTAAAACTCACATACAATAAGACAATGAGAACACATATTGATATATCAATATGGAAAGTGTGTCTCAAGGAAAAAAACCTAAAAACCATGTATAAAATAGATTTATGGAATCAAAAGAAGGAAAAACATGAGAGTCATGAAAAAAGTTTTTAAATGAAAATATATCAAACTAATGAAATCATAAATCAAGTGGAATCCCAAAAATGATGTTTGATCAATAAAGGAAATCTTCTTTGTAAAACTTGATCAAACCACACATAGAATACATTATAAAGCACAAATAGATGATCTATAAGCACAAACACATAAAATATCATCATAAAAGTATTTTTATAATGAATCCATAAACATGAATACATTGTTTATACCAAAAACTACATAGTTCAAACCAAGAATACAAAATATATGAGAATCATGAACTATTGATTTGAAAAACCAAATAAAATCATTTTTAATTTATTAACAATGTAAAACAAATACTTTCTTTTAAGGATTTTTATATTTTTTTTGCAATTTGTTCAAATAAAAATCATCTTTAAGAACATGAAAAACTAAAAATTAAAAAATTTGTTCTTAAAGATCAAATAAGTTTTGGTACCAAATTACTCTTGGTACCAAAGAGTTTAGGGACATGACCCCTATCATTAAAGCTCAAACCCTTAGGGTTATGATCCCTTTTGGACACATTTGGTGCACGGGTCCGATCATAATAATAATCATGCAAATGACTCATTCGATTGTAATAAGTGCAATGAAATGAATGCATTTGTTTTTGTAGACCCTATGGATGTGCACGAGGAACATTTGCAAATAAAAATGATCTTTTAGAAATGTTTTGCAAATGGGAGACTTTTTGTAAATCAAAATAAAAATTTGCTAAGTGGCCAAATCTACCACAAGCATTACATTTGTACACATATAGTCTTTTAGAAACATTTGGCAAAGGTGAATTCTTTTTCAAATCAAAACAATTTTTTTTAAATGACTAAAACGACCACAATAATCACATTTAAGCTTTTGTGGTCTTTTAAAATTATTTGGCAAAAGTAAAATTTTTTTATATCAAATCAAAACTTTGCCAAATGGCCAAATCGACCACATAGATCACATTTAAACGTACATGCATGTTTATGATGATCATTGTGAGCATGTGCATGTGTGTATGATAAAGAAACTTGATTAGATGCACAATGATTATTAGCATTGTTATGTTTGTGTGCATCATAGCAAAATTTAGCTAGATGGCCTTTTCGGTCGCAAATAGAATATTTATA